CTTCAAAACAAATATTGACACCAGATGAAAAACAAAACTTAAAAATTCTTATAATAATATCAGTTAAAGAGTGATTTCGTCACTCGAATCAAAATCAGATATCTCGACACCAAATGAAAAACCAAAATAATATAGGATCTTTGTAACAATTACCCAAAATGGGATTTTCCAATACGGGACCGATTAATGAAGCCTGAAATCAAATACCAGACACTAAATATTAAAAAAATTTATCGAAAATGAGATTTTTCAGCGTGAATTCAGGTTATTAGTCGAGTCCCAAATCGGATACAAAACACATAAAACAAAAAAATAAATTATAATGATTATCACTAAGCATACCTTGTTAAGGTGGCAACTTCAACACAAGGTGAATTCTTCCAAAAATCAAAATGATTTCTTAATATTTCCCTTGCTTTATCCTTTACATGTGAAGCACAATTAGCTTGTATCACAGTACAAATCTTTGATACACTTTTGACTTTCAACATTTCTTGAAGAACTCCACTTGTTGCTGAATATTTTGTAATCAAATAAAGAATCATTATGGCCTTTTCATCTACAATTGGAGAAACCTTTAAAATCCTCTTTGTAATCATAGCAATTCCAGCAGCATGACTTAAAAGTTGTGCCCTACCATCAGCACAAGAGCATAAATTGAATAATATCTCAAATATTAGCTCTTTAGTCTTTTTATTTGATGAAAAATTGATTTCGAGCTCGATGAGCTCGAAAATTGCCCTTGATTGAACCATAATGTTCCGGTTCTTGCCCGAATGACTAGTGTTTAGGATGACATGTAAAGCGTTGTCAACTACTTTTTGTGCGATGGTGGTAGTATTACTACCACTCTCGCGTAAAACCCTAATTATTTTCTCCAATAATTGGGGTTTTAGTCTATCCAATGTGCTTGAATTCGCCTTCCCAATGATGGATCTCAAAAGGCTCATCGCGTGGTTCTTGATCGTTGCATGGTTTTGCATGTTGCGATCAAGACCTAACGCCCATGTGATTGAATCTATTAATATCTCTTCGCGATTTTCGACTTCATTATTTTCATGACAAGATGGAAAATAATCCCAAATTAATGAAAGTGTACTAAGGGCTTTTTCAAGGCCATTAGTGTCACATTTCATGTAACATCGGATCAAGAAGTTAACTAGGGCTTCATGAACTCCAACTTCAACCATGTATGTCTTGTTTCTCTCATTATTCTCCTTAGCTAACATCTCCAACTTCTCTAACGTCTTGATATTCTCCGTCCCGGGGACGGAGAGATCAAGAACGAGGTTGAGGACGTAGCATTTGCTTAACGGAGGCTTAGCCGGAGTCGAGACTTGATCAAAAACGTTGAATCCATTCGATACACACCACGATTGAATCAAGTGACGGAGAGTGTGGTTTGGTGTTAGGTCTGAATCTCGTGACACGTGTAGCTTCGTGACCGGACAAAGGGCGTTACTATTAGGGTTTTTGGAAAGCCAACATTCGATACTATCGCGATCATACGTAATACCAGTAACGACCGTTACAGGATCTTTCATGATTTGTAGAGAAATTGGACATATAAAATACTCAGGAATTTCAACATTTTCCATTAGAAGAGGGAAAATTTTGAACTTTATTTTTTTTGGTTTTACAATATGGTTGTGTTATAATAAATGGAGAGGTGTGGAAAGGAGAAATAAAAAGTGGCTAAGTGTGTTGAAATAAATGAAGGAAAAAGATTGGAGACTAAAGAGTGGAAAAAATTGTGCAAGTTTTATATAATTGAGAAAGAATTAATATTAGGATTGGTCAAAGTAAATAGTCATACTTTCTCACAATGTGATTGATTGTGGACTTTGGTCAAAGAAAAGAGCAACTACTATAGCTAGTTGTTTCGAATTTGTTTTGAGATCTGAATAATTTAATTTTTTTTAGTAGTAGTTAAGTTTGATATCCGTTTTGAAATTTGATTAATTTTATTTTATTCGAAGAAGTTAAGTTTAGTATTCATTTTGAGATCTGATTAATTTGATTTTATTATGAATAGTTAAGTTTGATACAGTAGATTTAAGTATCATATTATATGTAATTAAAATTTTTAATATCGCAATTTATTTATTTTTTGGTAAAAATATCGTAATTTTGATATTATGATATTTAATATGAATAGTTCTTTTTTATTCCATATTTATTAAAAGAATATAGAATATCACATTGAATCAAAGTATAAATTAGTTACATGTACAATTGATATATGTATATTATTATGATAATGACAAATATATAAATTGGTATATTAGTATAAAATTAATTATTTGGACTCTAGAAGATTAAACTGTTATTTTTTTAGTTGATTAACGAAGAAATTATTTGTATATTTTTTTAAATATTTCTTCATGCGTAAGATGTCATATGAAATATTAGAGACGTTTCTATTATAAGCGTATATATGTAAGTTGGAGTTGAATAAATTATAATTATCGATCTATCATACACAACAAAATAAACAAACTTTAAAAATACAATAGCATAGTATTTTAAAAACACTCTACAAAGGGAAATCTTATACGAGGATAAATTATTTACACTAACAGCATATATATATATATATAAAAAAATTTAAATTCATAAAGCACGTAAATATTTTTCATCACACATATCGAGTTAAAATATCAAAATAACATTTTTACTTAACCGCGTTATTTTAGTTGTCCCTCTCTTAGTAATTTAAAGTCTAAAACTCTACAAAAACCTTGTTGACTTCCAAAGTTTTTGGCTACTTTTTGGTTTGTTTTATTATGAAAATTATTAAAGTTATCAATCAACTAATCAACTACTAAAAGAATATTATCATGAAAATTCTATAAACTTTTGAAAGGTTCTCAAAAAAGTTAAAATATCATATAAATTGTCTTTTATAAATTAAATATTATTAATACTAGTGAAGTAATATATCAACCATTTGTGATATAAATTATATCTAATTTTAAATTAGTTATTTCCTCAAATGTTTATATTTATTTTTAAAGAAATTCATTTTTATGGATTGAATAGTCTTTTATGAACCAAATTTCTTCAAGTCTAAGTGGTAAACAAACTCAACACGTAATAAAGAATATAGCTAAATAAGAACAAACAAAAAGACAATAAAAATAAATTATTTTCTAATTTTTTTTCTTTAGTTTAGTAAAAAAAAACAAAAACCAAGTCAATGGTAAGAGTGTTACAACAATCAATTTTGCAATTTGTGATTCATAGGAAAAATAAAATAATTGTGATTCATAGGGAAAATAAAATTAAAAAAATGAGATTCTAGAAGGATACAAATCAAACAAATTAATTGGATGTATTTGAGAATGTGGATTTTGGATAAGTTTATAAATTGATTAAATTTGTTTATAAGTATCTTTTAATTTATAATCGATTAATAAATATTGAAAATATAAATTTAAATGGCTGACTTTGAGGTTTTATGATATAAATCGATTATTTTTCTTTTACATAACATATAAATATTGTGATATCAACATAAGTTATGATGCAGTGGTGAAATTATTCCGCTTTTAATCAGAAATTTCGAATTTGAGTTCTAAGCATAGAAAATTCTGTTAAAAGTATCACTTTCGAATTAGTCCTACAATACGCGACTCGAATTTAACTAGAGCTCTAATCACTCCGAACATCCAATAAAAAATAAAAAGAAATTGTTTAACTTGGATATGATTAAAAAATGATTAAATTACTTTATAAATATATTTTTATTTATGATTGTTTAACAAATATGTGAAATATAAATTTAAATTAGCAGGATGGTAGAATAATAGTTGTACCAAAGTAGACCTCATCGAATCATAAATGTTGCCTTTGAGGATATACGATATGAATTGATTATTTTTCTTTAACGTCAACACATTATTGTTTGTTGTGCGTGTAATATCAATATGAGTTTTGATGCAGTGGTGACATTGATAAAATTGTCTCGTCCTTAATAAGAATTGAATTTCGAATAAAAAGCGCCACTTTCAAATGAGTCTTATAATGCGCGATCCAGATTTAATCAGAGTTCTAATCACACCGAATTTTGAATGGTGGCAACAGAATTGGAAGACCTAAAATACATTTAAAAGACTTGTTAACAAGTATTTCCCTTGTGAAATAGATGGACTGTTATGTGGCATTTTTAGGCAAGTATATAATAAAAGTTGAGTAAATTTCAGAAATAACAAACATAAAATTTATAATCGCGCTCTATAACCATAGTTTTGTTATGCTTTACATCCAAATTATGTTTTCTATGAAGTATTTAATTTTTATAAATACCAGTGATTCGTATAAATCAAACGTAAGTGTCTATGAAAATTGTGTGTGTAGATGTAGATGTTCTCAATATTAGGCTAGAGTGGCTAACGAGATTAGGAGAGAGGCGAGCGAGAGAGGACAGAGAATACAGAGAGATGAATTATGTATTTATATCAGAGATATATATTTGTATATATATATATATCTATTACGCATATGTATCAATGATTGTGCTTATAAATCTGCATAAAATTTAATTCATATACAATTGAATTGCGTTAATGTACAATTGAATCGAGTTAAAACATTTGTATTTCTATATCAAATCTCTCACTCGCTTTATGCAAATACAAATATAATCATTGTATTCGAGACAGATAAATAATTATATATATGCAATTACTATGTATATGTATCAATGATTATATATGTGTAAAGTGAGGAAGGCCAGGGAGAGATGACTGAGAGCGGCGAACGAGATTCCAGAGAAAGGAGAAAGAGGCAAATGACAAGAAATTTGCTGCGAATTGAAATCAAATGAAACTGTAGCTATAACATTTATTTTATATATTAATAAATTGTATGCAATGTTCAAGTTTTGCCCTCGGGTTTGTTAACGAGCACTTTATCCCAATATGAAATTTGTCGATATGAATTCAAATCAAGTCAGACTCTAATAATTTGATGATCGAACCTCGAATGAAAAAAAAATAAAAATCCCAACTTGTGCCCAAAAAAATAATTAAAAAATCAACCATCATCATAGTTTATCCTTCCAAAAAAAAAAAAAAAAAGGTGAACTCAACTATTTGATTTCCCAAATTTCTAATCTTTAAACAGTTTCAAGAATCAAATGCCCAAATCCCCCAAATTTGTACTTTTTACTTCAACAATTTGAAGAACAAACAACTCTAAATCTACTTGAAAATGAGTAAAAAAGGTATGTTTTTTGCACAAGAATCAATAATTTTTTGCTACTTTGTTTAGATTATTTATGTATATGGAATTTGAAGAAATACCCTTTAAAGAATCTTGTTGTTACATTCTTGATATGGGTTTTTATCTGCTTAAGAAAAAGATTAGTATTTTAGGTTTTTCTTTTTTTTTTTCATTCTTCAAGTTTAGTACTTTTTGATATTGAACTGTTACATTCAATAGATTTTAGCTAATGGATGTTTTGATTTTGTTTTTATTTATCATTTGTAGGTATCTATTGGAAGATTTTGGTGTGTGTTGGTTGAGTGAAGGGAAGTAGACAAAAAGGGAGCTTTTTGATTATCTTGTAAATGGGGTTCTTGAGTAGAAGGAGAATGTGGGTCATTTTGGATAGAGGGTAAGAAAAAAGAACTTTGCATATTGTCTTGTTTTGTTTTTTTGATGATTTGGGAACCCGTAGTAGCCGCTTACAGACCATACAGGAGAGGTAAGACGTACTAGGCAAGACCAAACCGCTGTTGTTTGCTGGTAAGGGGTTTTGAACTTGAGACCAATGTTGTGGAAGTCGTAAGACAAACCATCTGAGCCATCCCGAAGGGTACCCCATTGTTTTGTTTTATACACATTTTGTCGAGTCTGAGAAATGCTTGGGGTTCTTTGAAATGTTACTAATTGTAGTTATACAAGTTGTCGTTTTTGTTAAGTAGCTGAATTACTGAATACATTGTGATAATGGAGTTGTTGTTCTGCTTTATGTAAATACTACTTACTAGTTATAGCTACTTCTGTCTTGAGCATTCTTCGGGGTAGTGTATATTAAACAGTAACTTATTTTTGTTGGAAAATGTTTCTAACGTGAGTGCTCGGAAAATTGGTGACTTGAAAAGTATTGTGTTACAATGACAAATGTAGGTTAGTTTTGATTCATTTGCTAGCACTTCATGTTACATATCAATGATGCTACTATCCATGTTAACTGTGAAGATGCAGATAAATTACTGAAAAACTTACAGCTATCAAGTTTCCTACGTGTGATAATTGTAATGATGCACCAGTCGGAAATTACGTTAGTAGTGGTGGCTATGTGCACGGATTTCAAATTTGAGTTGTGATTTGTTTTTCTGACTTTATGAATCTCACAGGCCTTTCTTTTCAACTAAGCCATATTTAGTTGTTTCTTGTAGGTTAGCGGTCGGGCATATACACCAGAAGATCCATTTTATGACCGAGCAAATCTAGGAACTTGTGGTAGAGGTGGCCCTTCAAAAGGTTGTATATGATTGCCTTATTGGAGCTGGATTGTGTTCTTCACTTTCCAATCCCTTGTTTAACATATTTACTTAATTTCCTAGTCTTTTATTGATCATCTATACACGCTTATGTGTCCTAACTTGTTTGTCAAAGACGCCTATTGGCTACAGCTACTATAGAACTTGATGGACTCTGTAATTTTGTAAGCTTAATGAGTACAGCACTATCATGCATCGAAAAAGTCACCTAGTTCTACGTGCCAACTCTTGAAATAACACAACTTTCCACTTCGACTACTGTATATATATGTCTTTCGCAAGCCCTCGGTCCTTGGAGAAGGCCTGAAATTAATATGACATATTAAATTTCAGTAGTTGATCCTAGTTCTGAAGACAAAAGAGGACGAAGTAAGTAAGAGGATGAGCTAACATCCTTAAGCTATGTAAGATGACACATTCATGATCATGCTACCGCTAATTTGGCTTTGTTCCAGTATTGAGAGATGAGGTTAAGAAGAATTGAACATGTGGAGTTCATTAGTCTCGTCATGATATTTTCATAATACGAAAATGAATAGAGTTTGTGGTGGGAAGAGTAAAGCTAATAGAGTTTTTCTTTCTTTCCTTTTATTGAAATTGGTGTTACTAGAGTTCTTCATGTTATAACTACCTGAAAAGTTCTCTCTTTAGGAATATCGGAAGTTGATGACGTTTCAATTTAGATAAAGTTGGTAAATATGAATAAGAGTTAAGCCATTTTTTGGAAACTAACGTGATTTACTAGCCATTTTTGTATGACTTGAATTAGTGTTTCCATATTTGTTTGACATATTGATGCCTGATGGCTGATGCTGTTTGCATATTATAGATTTCTATCCCCGAAGCCAAGACCTTATATATATTACCGATTCACTTGAGTGAGATAGAGGAGAGTGGAATTTCTTGTGTAGGGGGGGGGGTGAATTCCGGAGATCTACAAAGGAATGCCAGAAGCAAAGGCAGCTCTCTGGGTCCCTACCGATGCTGAGGTGCGAAAGCATGGGGAACAAACAGGATTAGATACCTTGGTAGTCTTGTTGTAAGCGTATCACATCTAGGGTTTGTGCGCATAAGCTGACCTGTGCACCTCTTCTAAAAAAAGTTACTATTAATGTCTGCTCTATGAACTTTTTCTTCTGTTTCTTTTATGTGTTTTTGGTTAACCAAATAGAGCTTAAATTTCTCTTTGGATCTATATCTAAATCGGAAAAGAAATTAATTATCCAAAAGAAACTTTTGTTGGACTTCTTTGACTTTGTTAGGGATGCACAGTTTTCTGATTGAATACAGAATCAATCTGATTTAAACTATTTTGCTATCTTGTTTTATGATGTCATGTGTCATTTTCTATTAGCAGGTCTGACAATGCATCGAAGCTACACCAACTAGTCTTGAGCATTAATGGAGACAGTCGTAAGTGTCTTAACATAGTATAGAAAACTAAAAGAAAATATGGTTCTTGTGTGTTCTTGTGTCATATCACCGGAGCATTGGAAATTTGAAATAAACAGGAAACTTTTGATGAAACAATTTACCTAACTTCTTATTTGAAACATTTCAAGATATTTCTGGTGATATGAATGGAAAAAGCGTAAGCTGAGACAATCCAGCATTGGCCAGGCAAGGCACATGCCAATAAGAGCAAGGGTCTTCCTTTTGAGTGTGAACACTTTCTTATCTTTTTATTTGTAATGCTAAGAATCCGCGGAAGTTGGGAAGTTGTTTGTTATGCCACTCAATTATAACTTCTGAATAATTTTCTTGTCCTAAATGTTATCTTTTTTTAAAAAAAACGGGCAAGGAAAGCTAAAGAGGTGGTTTATACCTCAGATTCAGGCTAAGAGCCGAACTCCTCATGCTGGAAGGTGTATGGCTGCGAGGAGTTTGGCCTCCGCCTGGCTGCTTAAGGGAAGTTAGGCTTTACCTTGCCTTAAGAGCCATGTACATGAATTTGATTCTTGCATCTACTTATTTGACTGCGGGTTGCCTTCACTTTGCTGTACTGATGGAAGGATCATTAAGGAGTGACGTAGGAACATTAATCATTTAAAGGCATAAGAGAAGCTTACATCCTGCTTTTCTCTTATTGATTTGACTGTTGAATACATTGTCAATAATTTATCACGTTAACTAACCTTATATCATTTCCCCTCCCCCCCCGCAGCCTAATGAATTGAAGACATCAAGCAAGATTGGAGATAGACCAACGAGTGATGTTGTCGTAAGACTTAGAACACAGGATGGCCGTGATGATTGGCTTTACTGTCATTCACATATTCTCATTGAAGAGAGTAAATATTTTGCTGATCGGTTATCAGATAGTTGGCCGACATGTCAGTTTCTGGATTCACGCAATTGTGTTGAGGTTTACTGTGAAGAACCTGATCTGGACTCCCATGTCAATGTCCTTCGACTCTTTTATGTCATTGCGGATAGCTTAATGATGGAAATTTGCCATGGTGTCAAGAATGCACTTGGCATTTTGCGAATTGCTGTCAAACTTGGATGCCCAAGAATTACTGCAGTATGTGTGGATTATTTGGAAGCAGTCCCTTGGGAGGAAGCTGAAGAGGAAGAGATATTAAATACTATACCAAGCATGGGATCTAAGGTGGAACCGGTACTTGCTCGCCTCCAACCAGTCAATCCTACTGCCGTAATGAAGATTTTTCTTGCAGCCCTTCAATTTGCTACGTCATCACCTCCTTCACCTTTGAATGATCTGAAAAACACTGCTCAAGAACAGCTTGAATACATGCTTACCGAGGACGATGATGCTCCTTTACTGACCGCTGATGAAGAAATAAAGCTAGAAGTCATGCGATGTGTCAAGAAGCTGCTTGATAGATTTAACAGCATTGTAGAGTCTCTATTATGTGACCTCCAAGAATCGATTTCAGATGCTGGGAGAATGCAATCGTTGCATTCTTGTTTAACAGATTTGTTATGGGCATGTCAGATATTAGGGAAGCTGGAGATTATCAGAGATTTTGTTTGCAGCTGGACGGAGTTGTCAGTGAAGCTAGTAACCATCGTTCAACAAAAAGATGAAGAAAATCAAATTCTGAAGACAAAGCTGAAGGTTCTTGAGGTGACCGCAAAAGTGTTAGAGGCAATAGGCTATGGCATAGTTGTGTTACCTACAGTAAAACGACTTCACATGGTGAAGCTCTGGCTTCCTTTTGTCCGGACAATGAAGCCTTTAGTCGATTCCGTCACCGAGGAAACTGAGGATGAGATCACACTAAAAGTCGATAGTGAGATATGGCAATCTTTGGAGTCAGCATTTGTTGCTATTATACTTACATTGCCGTCAGTTGATCAGACAGACATTTTAACAGAGTGGTTGGAAAATCAACAGATTCGATATCCAGACCTCACCGAGGCATTTGAAGTATGGTGTTACAGGTCCAAGGTAGCTAAGCGAAGGCTGGCAACACTTGGGGAAGAGCACAATACAGCTAAAGCAGTATGACTTCTCTCTTCTTTTGCCAATTCTAGGATTTAGCTATCCTCCTTTTCGCGTCACTGATTATATGCTGAAAACTTTCTTTTATTCTTTCGAGTTATAACCTAGCTGAATTGGTAAGACATCTTAAAATGGCCTAGCTTCTGTAAAGTGACCTCTATTTTTGTACCCTCTCCATGTTTTCATGCTTATTCCTTATGAAGTATATCAATCATTTTCAGCAATATACTCGGAACTCGAAAAAACTGGAATCTTTGCCTTGAAACTGTATGCCAAGTGATGATTGATGATAACTTATGTTCTTACATTTGAAAGGCTGCTTGTTAGTTATTTGGAACTAGTTCTGTTTTAGCCTTCTTTTCGGTTAGAAAACTAGTCGAACCTTCTCCTTTGTTGTGCTTCCTTTGAGCTGGTGAGGCAGACTATGTTGCTCGGACTTTCCAAAAATGTCAATGGGTGTTCAGATTCTTCAAAACTTAAGTATTTTTGTTGGATCTGGCACGAGTTCATCAACATGCTTGGAGAGTCGAAGCAAACGTAGAATGCATATGGTTAACATGAACCACTTCTACTTGCATTTGGTTATTTTCCTTGTTATCTTGCTATGATTTTGTTCTTCTTGCAACCCTACTTCAAAAGCTTTCTTTTGAGTGAGGGTCTATCGGAAACATCTCTACTCCAGAAAGACAGGGGTAACGTCTGTGTACATTCTACCTCTCCCGACTTCTGTGGTGGGTGTGTATATGTATCTCCGAGCTAGGGGCAAATATAGTAATTCGGTTTGTAGCCGAGCTATGAAAATAAGTCAGGCACCCGTTTAGTCGATTCACTAGCTCTGATATCAATTATTGCGATAAAATGATCGATAATACTGTTAATGTGGTGTGATATTTTTCCATACGAATCAAGCCTACGAGATAACTTTCTACTTTTTAATGTGAGATTTTATTCGCACGCTCAAGAATCTTGTTGGTTGTAACTATATATAATACCCTGTTAATCAAATAGTGGAAAGAACAAATAGGTGCAAATAATTTAAAAAAAAAAAAAGAATCACAAAAGCAAAGATTATTTCCAAAATAATTGATAGCAACATAAGAGAAATAATACTTTTAAAATGCTCTTTATATTTATTTCTTTTCCAAAAAAAAAGGAAGTGAATAAGTATTCTAATCTAACAAGTAATTTCCCAAATAAAGAAAAAAATTCCAAGGACAAAAATATTCTCAATGTAATTTGTATCTATAGGTTCATTTCATTTTAATTTGTATCTATAGGTTCATTTCATTTTAAAAAATTCCAAGGACAAAAATTCCATGTGTAACAAGAAATATTGATATTTGAGATGATTTTTTTATTTTATATTATAATTAATATGAAATAGTTACTTTAATAGTTTAAAATAAAATAATATATTTATTCAGAAGTTATTGTTTACATCAAACAAATAAATATGCATATGGTATATCAACGATTAGACTAGACTACAATTACACGTTCTGATCGATTTATTATACCTGAGTAAGAAAAATCATATAAATATTTCATATATTTAGTTATATGTGGTAGTAATTTATTATAGTGAAAAAAAACCCTAAGCTCAAAATCTTGCCTTTCTAAAATTATCTTTAGAAGGGAAATGATTTCAACAAAATTTTCACGAAGCAGATTCAAAATATAGAAAAGTAAGCATACGAAAAAAGACAAGAAAATTCAACATCTATGATATATACAGTATAATATTTTCGACGAATCACTCAACCCCTTACTCAAACATGCATTCATTTTTCTAGGGAATAAAACAACACTTAAAACAAAGTTACTCGTAACAATTTTATTTATTTATTTCCATCTGGTGTCCAATAACCATGTTGAAACCCGACTGAATCTGTATTCGCAATGGATAAGTTTCATATTAGGGTTAAATCGCTTCTTGACAAAGATGACCTCATACCTGATCAAGACTCGAACCACGAAACCTCGAGAACATGAAAAGAGAAGTAACAAAGATTGGCTAAAATGGATGGAGTATTATTTTTTTATACCATCCAAAATAACTACATTTTTTTTTCACATCCAATATAACAATCCCAAAATTAATATACAAACCCTCAAAACCATATATATATCTTCTAGATGTAGCCTAGAAAATCTATCTATTTTTGAAGAACTTAAATGGTTCTTCATCTCCAATGTATAAAGACTATGTAACTATGTAAAACTTGTTTCTTGATTCTTTACACTACCATTATATGATAGAATGAGAAACAATATACTAAAACATGTATCATTTTTCATCATGTTCTTGTTTAGCGACATACAGTATATACTGTATACTGTATATCGCTAATGCATGTTCATGTTTAGCGACAGAAGTTTTCAGTCGCTAAGTTAGCGACTGAAGTTATCTGTCGCTAAAACATGTTCTTGTTTAGCGACAGATGTTTGTCTGTCGCTAAATTTAGTTTATCAGGTAACAAAATCTGGTAACAAGGGAGCGGCGAACCTCTTCCTGTTTTGAATGTTGAAGTTTTCGTAGACATTTGATGTTGAGTGAGCTGATGTTGGTGTGTTTAAGCTACCAAACTCATGATTTGGTTCACCAATTTGAACGTTTTGAGTCGGAATTGGAAGGAAACTGTGGTGTGTTGCTGACATTGAGAGGTTTTCGTTGTGTGGTAGGCCGAGAGTGAGTGAAACTGTGCCACTAGTTGAGTATGGTGCTGAGAATTGCTCGGTGCTAAACCGAGCAATTTCACCAATGGGATAGGCTCCGAATCCTCCCATGAAGTTCATCGGTCCTCCCATTAGTGAAAATCCATCTCTGTCCTGCCTATCATCACCAAACTTCATCGACATTTGCTCCTCGTTTGGCTTTACATCCATGTTGATAGATGGAATGCTGTTTGGTGAATGCTGCAACATCTCGTTGCTCCTCGGTTTCTTTGGACTCCCTTGAGTAACGTTGATGCTTTCGATATCTGGTGATCCAATCAGGTTGAAACCAGCAGACTGATTACGGATGTTCATACCGATAGGGGGTATGGAAGTGGCGTTGGACATCGGTATTGATGAAGCAGGGTTGTCCTGTTTTTGGCTATCTGAACCAGGGCTTTTGTCTTGTGTAGCAATGGATCTTGATGTTGTTGAATCTTCGTTTTGTTCGCCTACTTTACTCGTCTTTTCTTGACCCAACGTGTTCTGTTCGTGTTCTTTTATCTCTTCCAAGTACATCTCTTCCACCATTGGTTTCCAAAGACGAACTCGAGCATTGATGAACCAATTCGACACCTAAATCGTCCACAAACAAAACTTAGTAAAAACCAGAAACCAGAGAATCCAAGAGTCGATTTCTCAGATACTCACTCAACTAACAGTTATTATCTTAGAATGGTCGAACTCTCTTTGTTGAAGTAAAGACGACTTTCTAGTTAAGTGACCATCTGAGAAATCAAAACTCGAGAATCAAAAAACGACAATGTTGTTATCAGTTATCACTAACCTGACTCCTAGTTAGCCCTGTTTGTTTTGCTAGCATCATTTTGTCTGAATCCTTGGGATAACTATACAAAACAAATTTACCACAATATATCAAAATATAGTACTTTTAACGAAGCTATATTGTTTAGACTCTTCAAAAATATCGTCAGGTATGTATACTGGTGTGTGACAATATTTTTGAAAAGTCCGACCAACATAGCTAATGAGAAAGGGTTGTTTCGTGCTTACGGATGGAGGAAATGTTCAAAAAGCCAAGCGCGGAGAACAGAAACAGCTCGTTCGGGCAATCCTCTCTGAGGTCTCCAAGCATTATGCTGGATCATTCCTAATTGTTGCAAAGCTCTTTGTTGTCTTAGCTGATTATCGACGAATTTGAGCCTTGAACCTTCAATCTTCCCTCCCAAACTGTCTTCTTCGCCTAACGTCTTGCTTGCTGCTCGTATTTGACCAATTATCGCGTCTTTTAGACACCTAAATTGCTTCGAAATCGTCTGCAATGCCAATGCTGTATATGTTTTTGCTGATCCAATACCAGCAGCTTGCTCTAACCAATTTATCACAGACTGCATTTGGTGATGATAATGTCTATACCTCTGCTCCACCTATATAACATCACCCAAAATCGAATTATATCAAAGATTTCGAGAAATTTTTTTTTGAAAAATTCAAAAAAACTTGCATCTTTAGTTTACAAGATTGTCAGGACAGTGCCCTGACGAAAGTTCTGGTCTTTTATCATTTGATAGATAGAGAGACCATACTCTTTCTATCTTGGAAGGCCGAAAACCTATGTTGCTCGGACTCTTTGAGAAAAAAAATGTCAGACTGCATGTCGGATGCTCCAAAAATATACCATTTTGGAGAATCTGACATGAGTATGGCAATAATTTTGTAGGGTCCGAGCAACATAACAACCAACAAGGTTACCGCGTTGTCTACTTGTCGTTAAACTTATCAATGTAGAGTAGACTATTGATAAGGCTACAATTACACATATCTAAACGGAGGCAAATCAACATGTGATCTGACACGGATGCAACAACGTTACTGAGAAAAAGAGATAAAAAAAGTTTACCTCGTCAAGCATGTTGACAAGTTTTGCTTTCTTCATTTGAATTTCTTGTCTCTCCGCGGTACTTAGCTCATTGGTTGGAGCTCCGTCTTTCTCTGCTGGTCCAACTCCGTCTAACTGTACATCCATATCGACCATATTTTTCGATTTTTTGACATCATTATAAACAACAACTTCAGTACTATTACTACTTTTCATTGATTTTCCAACATTTACAACTTCATCAAGTAGCTCTTGTGCAGCCTTCATGTACTTAGAACTCAAAGGAACACTACAAATGCTCTGTTGTTGTTGTTGTTGCTGCTGTTGTATCCCCGAAGCCGAACCCGAACCCGTAGGCGAAGAAACAATCTCACGCGCCGCCGTGAAGCTCCCAAAACTCGGCTGCTGGGATGAGGACAAGCTAAGGGAAAGCCCTTGTTGCTGCTGCTGATGAGCGCGTGTGACCTCACGCGCCGCCGTGATGTCATTAGCCGGGTTGTAGAACCCGTATGGAGACGATCGAGCAAGGAAGCCGTGAAGGCCGGAGAAAGACTCGTTGTTGTTGTTGTTGTTGCCGGAGTCTTGAGATGGGGCGGTGAAGGCGGCGGTGGCGAGAGGTATACCGACAAATTGTTGTTGTTGTGACGGCGGAGGTGGTGGCGCGTGAGATAAGTTTATTGAATTTCCAAGAGGGTTGGAGTTGAAGAAAACTATGTTACTGCCGCCGCCGCCTTGCGGTGGCGGTGGTGGCGCGTGGTGATGTTGTGCTTCAGAAAATCCAACATAGCCAGGATTCATTAGTATTAGAGTTTGTAATCCATCATTTCCTTCTTGTATTTCTGAATTTCCATGAAAATAAGAAGCCATTCTTTTTTTTTAAATTTTTTTTTCTCCACAATAATATAAACAAATAACACCAACTAATCTGAAAAATTAAAAAAAAAAATTAAGTTAAAGTCAAGTCAAGTAAGTCCACATATATCATTTTTTCCAAAAAAAAAACAACCAAAACATATATATATAAATACAAAAACATACCAAACAGTATCAGAGCCAGAATTTTCACTAAAGAAATTTAAAATATGAAAAAGTAATATACGAGAGAAAAAACAAAGGATTTAGTATATACTATAATTTTCTATCGGAAGAAGTTTTGATGAACCCTTTTCATCAATAATCAATATATATATATTGTTGATGACTATAAATTACGACTTCAATGTTGCAGAAACATGATTTTCATTGAAATGATTTATTAAAAAAATAAATTTTAACCTTATATACACAGTACGATTCTGTTCCTATAGCTCCGCTCCTGATTATTTCGACTAGGTGGGTAAATTTTTATTTTCTTTTTACCTAAATATGATAAGATACCTAAGTAAAAGTGGTTATAATTTTATGGTAATTATGATATGTACCTTTTACTGTTGAAGACAAGAAGCTAAGGTCCAAATAATTCAACCCATTCACACTTTGTAACACTTCAAAATCACAAAAATGGTAAAATAAACCTAAAAATTTAGCATATGTTAATATAATTGTAGTTAAAAAAAATTGATTAAAAAAAAGATTATATAATAGGATTTGTAAATTAAATTTACAAAATGTTGTAAGTGCACGTGGTGTATTATAATCTGACAAATGGAAGAAATGAAGAATAATTTATTTTTGATTAGAATGACACAGAAAATCATAACAGAAATTTTTTTAGAGAGACAAAGGAACGAATAAATATATATAAATAATAAATTTCGAATTCAATTATAATTGTTATTATAAAATTGAGAACTGATAAAGTTGAAATCTTAATTTCGAAAAAATCAAAAAAGGAAAAAACAAAATACTCCCCATAAACATTTTTTTTTTGGAGGAACTCTAATTTATTCATCTATCTATCTATATAGATTTATGAATCATAAAAAAAATAATTTCTCTTGATAAAGTGAAAGAAAAAGAAAAACACAAATCGAATTCGATCGAACTCAATAATTTTAGTGTATATTTATTTTAAAAAATCAATCTAACATGTAGATATTATCAATTTAAAATTTAAAATTCATAAACTTCAAATTCTAGATCGATCCTTGAGCACTAAGTGTCAGTTATACGAATTCAACTGAATTTAATATCTAATTTTGTTTCAAATATTGTACCTACTAACACATAAAATCAATTTAGAATTCAATAACTCAAAATATTACAACAACTCATAACCTTCATATTCTGGATCCGCCTCTGAACAGTGGCAGAACTAAACTGTCGGTTATGGCTTCGATCGAACTCAATAGATTTGTACTTACAAAAATTCATTCAACACATGTAAATTATCAATTCAGAACTCGATAACCACACAAAACCATAATTCAAAATTCATAAACTACGTATTCTTACGCTGACTCTGACTCTATCTTTGTTAGTTGAAATTAAAATAAAAGAGGAGAAAACTCGTAAACTTCAAATTCTATATATACATAGTTAATAAGTGAAAGAAGTACCATACCTGAAAAAATAATATTTTTGATAATTATTATTATAATTATTATTATTATTATTATAACTTTCTTTTTCTTGTTGTGATTTGACTCAGCTTTTCAAATCATTTGATGCAGCCATCAGCAGAAAGAAATAAAAATACCATCTTCTTCTGTGTGAAGTGATGAGAGCTAATAAAAGTACTCAACTTTTTAGAGAGAGGAGAAAGAAAGATAGAAAGAAAGATGTGGATGTGTGTATGTGAGTTTTAGTGTGTGTTTTTGCTTATATATATAAAAAAATATATATATATACTTTTTTTAAAAAATTCTAATCTACGTGTCTAGGCAAGTCTGGTGCGACAAGATCGATTTAGAAGGTAAATTTCATTTTTGTTGATAAAGGTAATCAAATTTGAGACCTTCAGTATAAAAGTACCGAGGTTAAATCACTAGGCTATATCGAAGAGTAATTTATGTGGTATAGTTCAAATTTCAAAGGTCATACTTTTTTATTTTATGTGTAAATACAAATAGAGAAAGTATTATTGATGAATGAACTTCTTATAAAGTTTGGTCGATATTTTCTTTTATTGAGAAGTGACGAATGGAAAGACGTATTATAAGGCTTGTATAACTCTTCGTTTTTTAGGTAGCTTTTGATGTATATATAAATTCGCGATTGAAGAGTTACTTTGATATGATATCAAATTCAGGCTCATTCTATGTGGTTCTTCGAGAGACAAATTGAATAAGGATGAAAATATTGATATCTGTTAACAAACATATTCTCGTTCGAGAGAAAAAGTTTTTTGACATGAGGGATTAACGAAAGGGAAAATGGTCTACGAATGTGCACGCTCCAACGCGAGGGAGTGATGTACGGAAAGAACCTTACATCGATAAATGAAGAGATCTCTAAACTTGTTATAAGACATGAACAATGCTTCTCTCTTTTTCTTCTTGAGCTTATAAAGTTACGGATTCAATTTGAAATAATTTTAACTCAATATCACTGTCTTAATTAAAATTAATATAAATAGTTTATCAAAATCCGGTTATAATTCAAAATATATAAATTAATATATGGACTTTGCCTTTAAAGTAGTACATATAATTTTTTAAAATATCATAAATTATAACAATAAATATATAAATTACTTATAATTTTTTATTCAATTCTTTAAATTAATATAATATCATATAAATCGAAATGAAGAATCGATTAAATTATAAAAAATGGTATGGACGTATCTATCATCAAAGATCAAAGGTCTGTCAGAAGAAACAAACAGATGAAAAACGAGGTAACGTCCATTTCCACTAACACCCCTTTTTATAACACACACTTTTTTTCGATTTTAAAATATGTGACGGTATTTGATTAGATTAAAAAAAAGTAAAAAATCTAACATTTATAAATATAACAATATCTTCTAATAATATGAAAAAAATATATTTAAATTTAATTATTTTAAATATTAAAAAATATGTCATATAAACTTAGACGAACAGCGAACAAAAATGGAAAAATATGAACTTGAAAGTGATAAAGAAAGAAAAAGAAAGGTAGGGTTGAAGAGATAGGGGAGAGGGCCCTATTGTCATTATTGATTTGTGTTTGCAACTTGAAAAAAGATAATCGTGAAATAAATTTAGGACCTACATTTATGAAAATTTTATTTTTACCTAATTTAGCCGTCAGATAGATTCAAAATTCAAAATTTATATACGAAATAATCTCAAAATAATATTGTTATAGGAATTAATTTGAATAACAAATATTAAGTTCATGTGAATTTTGCTATTCACTTTTTATCTATATATCTTATGTGGATGGTTGTTAATTATTGTGTTATATGATCATATTGTTATGGTAAATAGCGTTTTATTTAGATTTTCAGTTAAATTTTATTATATCGTATTATTAAATATGTTATTATAACACATGATTTTTTTTATGTATATAACGATTGATTAGTTTAATTTGTACCATTGTCTTGTTTTTCATCTTGTCTTTACTTATAATTTACTTTCTTCGAAGTACCATATTCTTATACTTGATAAAATTTACTTTTTACCACTTTATATCAATAAAAAATTCTAATAATTTATTATTAGGTCTTTTTCTCTTAAACTTCATATCAGACAAGTATATTTTATATAAATTAAGACGGAGAAAATATTATTCAGTAACTTACCCTTAACTTTATTTGATAGTTTATCGTAAGTTATTATTTAAATTGATGAAAAGAAACAACAAAATATATCTAAATATATATTATATTTATCAAAATAAGATAAATACATTAACACTACAATACGATATATTATGAGATAACATGTGTCACGACCCAAAACGGGCCGTGAGTGGCATCCACATTTATTCTCCTATGTGAGCGAACCAACCAATCTAAACCCCAACAATTCAACATAATAAACTAAATACATTGCGGAAGACTTAAAACTCATTAACAAAATAAATCAAATGACTTCTAAAAACTCAAACATTTATTATTATCCCCAAAATCTGGAAGTCATCATCACAAGAACATCTATCCTCAAATTACTAATCTAAGAGTATCTAAGAAGCTAAAATACATAAGAAGCTAGTCCATGCCGGAACTTCAAGGCATCAAGACATGAAGAGGAAGATCCAGTCCAAGCTAGAAGCATTAGCTCACCCTGAAATCCGAAGTAATGAAGACTGGCTAGAGTTGCGGTTGAGTTGAAGACGGCGGTATGTTTGCTGCACTCCACAATTTAACAAAAAGAAACATACAAGTA